CTGACAAACAGTCCTGGATTTGGTTGAAATGTTGGCCCCGACTGGCTGGCGATACGATTTTTCCCAATGGGAGCCCGGGTTAAGAGAACGCCGTCATCCTGATCCATGGGGAAAAAAGTCGGATGCAGCCGGGAGCCTGGGACCTTGTTGGTTGGACATAGTTTCTCAGCTTCGCGTGGGCCAGAATCCAACATATACTTGTTGAGGGGTAAATGCCATGGTCCATGGTGGAACAGCGGCTGCCAGATTTGATGTTCGAGCGATTTGGAGGATTGCTTTGGGGCAATTTAGTAATGCACCAATTCAATGTTGCAATCAGACCCGTTCAAAACCCTGAATAACTCTCATGAAGCTGCCTGGCCGGAAACAAGCTCTGCGGCAATTCGCTGAGTTTTACGGGTGAGCAGGCGTGCAACTGAATAGTAAGTCTAAATGGGTCATCACCCGGCTTACTAAGGACTTACCTGACGTAGCGAATCGAGCACCCCTTCAAGTACCCCCCACACCCAGGAGCAAATGAGCAAACGGAAGATTGCGAAGCAGAAGCACATGGAAGTGCTGGATGGCTGCTTCCCCGTTTCCTTCCATTTGCCGTAATGTTTTTCCCTGTTGGCTTCACAGGGAATTTGTCACTACTGGAAATATGTTATTTTTTGTGGTTTGGATTTGGATGTGTACCGCTGGTTCTTGGAGAGGGTAAGTGGGAGACCACCCCCCAACCTTCAAACCAGCCAACTGAAGGGAAGCTGACATGGTGGGGGGCCAAAGGGTGGGGGTTATCTCTCCCGCTTGATTTGATGGTTCTGGAAACGGTTCGATTGTTGCAGCGCAGCTTTGTCAACGGCTGGTCATCCCCCATATGAAATGTAAGTACGCCGACCCTCAAGCAATTTGAGATTTACGGGGGTGCTAGGACATATGTTGAGTCCCTCTTTAGGGGTTAGCGAGCGTCAGTTTTCGGCGGGGCGCGGGGCTTCCTGTTTGGTACATCAAAAATCTATAGAGGGCTCCCTACATTTCCTTTTTTTCGGCCCGTTCAATTCAAACATCGCCTTTTGCGGTACTTGGTACTTGTGGATGAGTTCTTACTGGAGCAAAGTTTGAGGAGCAAATTTAGGGAGCGCAAAACTCGGGGTTGACTCAGGATGGGTAAGGTAGCCCTCGAAAAGGGAGGTAGAGAGGAAAGCAATGAAGGTTAGGCCGTTCCCAGCCGTTCTTAGGGTTTTGGGGTTTTAGTTGGTTCCGTGATTGGGTCTCCAGTTCACCCACAAGTTAAACTTTTAGTCAGAAAACGGACCCCCGCAATTTCTGGTTTCAGTCTGGGCTCAAAGGCAATCCTTAATCCTTGGGTTATGAAATTGGTTCCCTCGGCAATGGCATTCCAATAAGGGTTGTGGATGTAGGATTGGCCAACACTTGTCTTTGCACAGGCCAGTACATGACTTCCGCGCAGGTTGGCATGACAAGGAACCTCCTGCATGTGTTCCATGCTAATTTGCAAGGCAGCAATACTAAATTCCAGAGGCATCACGCAAGCGCCGGCAGGACATGTATCCACCGGACGCTACACGGCTACAAGCAGTCCGCTCATTTGTTTGGCTGCGCGTGCGCATCGAGCAAGGCCCTTTGTTCCAGTTCATTTTGCTACGCAGCATGGACAAACTAATGAAGCTATGTATGTTTTCACGTGTTTATCCATTGATGTCGTGATTGACTGATTGATTTGTGTTCCGCCAAGAGGAGAACAGAGTTTGCGGTTGATGGGGTGTCGCTTAAAGAGGGGCGTGAATCGGGAACACCGATCCGGGGGCGAACCGCAACATAAATCCGAGTTTGAGCCGTAATGTGTACACTTCCCAAATCAGAACCCAACGGTTTGCTTAAGTAGGCTCAGAGTGACCGTGTTTTCGCGGCTTTTCTTTGAAAAGATTAATGGCGCTTGAACAAGCTTGTGTTTAACCCTGGGCAGCGAACATCCATCTGCCGAGATTCTAGATGACATGCATTGTTGATGATGGTTTTTCATACTGTCTTCCTGGCATGTCCTATGATTTGTAATGTGCAACGATGCTAGCTGCCAACAACGGTTGCCAGGTTCATCGTCAGACTTAGTTTGAACCTTTCTTTCCGTTGACAATGATGCAATCACAGCTGACAATAAATTGATATGAATCCTGGAGGGAAATTTGGTTGGTCACAATATTTCGCAAAGACCGTTTGCTGACCTTTCACACATGGGCAAAGTATGATCCTGAAGTGACAGGCGCACCAACAATGAACCGGCGTGTTTGATCAAAATGCGCCGTTTGTCAATGCCCAGTGGGCCTGAGGTGAAAGCACCCCGGAAGCACGGCATGGCGTGCTGCTGAGCAACTTGCTTTTCGGGTTGGGCTTCTGCGCTCCCGCAGAAAAAGAGAGCGCACCTAAATTGATTATCAAGGCAGGCGTCCCCTTTGAGAAGCGACCCTTTCACTTTGAGGAAGCACACTCATTGTTTGCACAAGGTTTGTGAATCCAGGATTCATATTTCCCCGGCAGATCCGCTTACCTGTATAGTAGTTTACCAGGAAACCACCCATTAAATTCAGGAAATTCGCTGGGGTGATCTAACAAAAGTCACTTCAATCCACTGGAATTTGTGCAGTCCTCTTTCAAGGGGCCCAGTGCCACTTAGGGCCAAAGGTTACCGCCCTGCTTGGCCTGCGTGGCAAAGTGGCAAACAGGAGTCCGACGGCAACGCACAGGGCGACCTTTGGATCTGTTGCTTTGGCTTTGGTTTGGCATGGCCACGGACAAGTTACGGCACTTGAGGCATGGCACACCTGAAGTTTCCCCCGAACATTTTGTTGTTCAAGGATTTCATAGTTGTAGGTTGGTTAACTATGAACAGAATCATATGGGGTTCGCCAAGCACTTAAAGGGTTGTGGAAATACTTGTTTTGTTAGGGCTGCTTCAGTCATGGCAACTCATCACCTTTCATTTCTGGGGGGCTGCTGGAAAATAGACATGGGCCGATACTTTGTCCAAGAAACCTTCAGGAAACGCTGCACGTTAGCCCAAGCTTCTGTTCTGTGCGGGTGTTTGGCTAACTTGCGTCTCTTCCTGCTGGTTCCTATGTAAGGGAAGCCCCTGGACCTTCTAGCCACGCGGGGCCATGTGCGGGCTTCGCCTGAAAAGCGCGCCGGTCTCGACCAAAGATGCTGTTGAAAAGCGTGCCTTAGCCTGCCTGGGGGCGGGGAGGAGGTCGTAAGGGCTCCGCATTTGCTTCCTGGCCAGCATGTTGATGCGGCTGCCCGGCACGGACCAGACATTCCTGGGGCGTTTGTTGTTCAATTTTGGGTGGTTTAAACCTGCCATTAGCTCAGGGAAAATTAATCGGAGCTACGGCAAACAAATGTGAATCAATAACTGGGTGGCTCAAACATCACACCCTTTCTTGCCATCAATGTTTGGGGTGATCATCAATCACTGGCGAATGGAAGCAACCACGTAGCCCCGAAATGTTGGGATTCGAGGGCTTCTTGTGTCACATGCCGTCACGCATGAGGGAACGGTTCTCCATGATTGGGCCGCGGAGCCGCTGAAGGGGCCGCAGGATGTTCCCCCAAACCCGGTGAGTGAGGATTGCCAATTGTTCAACAGGACCCTTGGGCGCTGGGAAGAAATGGGGGGAAAAGGGAGGGAGGGAGGGAGAAAACGAGAGGCTAACAAACAAAAAACAAGGAGGAGAATGCGAAAGGGGGAGAAAGAGACTTACATTACGTGCGTCAAGACTCGACTCATGTGCCTCTGGCATTGCCTTGTGTAAGCCGCAAGCCTTATCATACAAGCCTTGTACAAGGGGAAACCGTTTGTGGCACGTTCCCAAGGGTGCGTGCTTTACTCTGTTGATAGAGAACCCTGCGCGTTGGAGATATGACGTCAGGCCTATTTAAAGGGGCATTGTACGTCAGGTATGTGGGGAATAATCACGGTTATAACCCACAAAAGCCATGGTTACACGTCGCCTAAGTGAGTTACAACGCGGCTTACAAACCTTTTGCTATGGGCTGACCCGAAGTGTTCAAGAGAACGCAACTCACCCACTCCGATTCAGCCAAATGCAACACTTCAAACCAAAAAAAATATACAACCCCGAGCCCCCTCTGAAGCAACCTCACTCAGTTACTGGAATCCATTGCAACCCAGAAAAAAGGCCTCAGCCCGGAACTCCCTGGACTCCGGAACCCTCTCTGAAAGCGGCCCCAAACTACCCCAGAGCCAATTTCTGGGCCTATCGACCTCATAGCTTCAGCTGTTTTTTTTTTAAGAATCACAAATGGGTAGGCAGCCCCATCGTCCTGAATGAGTTTTCGGGAAGCCCCCACCCTGGGATGCCAAGGCTCCTGGAGAGTGATGGACATGGATGGGAGCTCCAACAAATCAACATCCCTTATAAGATTCAACAGGGGCATGGGCGCCGGTTCTTTTTTTTCAGATCCCCTTGCCAAGCAGGTGGAATGATTTCTGGATGTCGCCTGCAAAAAGTACTGAGGCCCGCAATCACGGGGCACCTTCCGCAGCCGAGATCAAAGCCGTGCTTGCAGCGTACCCCTTTCTTAGGCTGAGCTCACGGACACGTGAAATACAACTTGGCGGTGCGATAGGTGAATGAACGAGACCGGGTGTTGGGAATGAACCCAATGAGATTCCCTTAATGGAAACCAAAGGCGATGGGTTATAGGGGTCATTCCATTTCTCATTCCCTGCCTATCGGGCCAGCAAGACAAGGACGCCGGCTTCATGTGGGTCCATTGCTTGTTCAGAAATCGGTTTCTTGAGACAGGGGTGCCGCGAGCCTTTGAAAAAGAGAGCCAACATACGAGGGTAGAAACTTGGCTTCAAGTTTCCGCTGGTTTTGCTCTGCCAGGCACCAATTTTCTACCCTTGTGCCGATCCGAACTTTGGAGCAACCCCGCTTGTCCCTGGTCTCATTTCCCATGAATCCTCACGCGGCCAGGCGAAGCAGAGACGCAGCCAACTCATAGAGGCGCAGTGGGGTCAAGGGCACTTAAGATGGTTTCCACTCCCCCCAGACCACCCCAAGCCCCTTGAGGGGGAATACCCCGTTTCCCCTGTTTGGGGGTAGGGCCTTAGACAAGTCGAAGTTGTTGGATTTCAAACATAGTCCGAAGCTATTCTATGTTGACGGAGCCCCAGCATCGACATAGAAAGAATCCCTACAATGTGCAAATTACAAACAATTACTAGAAGTACAAGCTGCGCTGGACAGCAAAGCTTTGAATGAGTGTTTCGCACACTTTTTTATGTGTGCCATTTGAGGTTGGCTAAATATGAATACTTCACAGTAGAAATATCATTTTGGGGATCAGGTCGGCTCTGTCTCCTTTTGAGTCCTCGGAAGCGCATGTACCCCTTACGATTTCGTGACAGGCTCGCAGTTACATAGACCCACGTCGCCCCAACATAGATTTACTCGAGTATGTGTGCAAACTGGTGGGATTGTTTTGGGACCGAATTGTTCAGACATTGTAGTTCGCAGATTCAATGTGTAGTTATTAAATATGTGGGACACAATTCGCAGGAGGATGCCAAAGAACCCGGCGCAAAAGTAACATGTTGATTCTTTGGGGTCGAACGTTGGCGCCTTGCAACCAAAAGAGTAGCAGCGGACATCAAAGCAAAGTCTCTGGGGATTTATGGGCTTGCAACCACTTCACTAGGGACTCTCGCCAGGAAACCCACCTCTCCCATCCCTTCCGGGGATTTTCGACACAACCGGAGCTTGGGTTCCAAGCTGCTTTTGCGAAGTGGCTAGGCCTGGCGCCGTCGAGAGGCCCTAAATTTCGGACCCCGAATTGAGATGTCTAGCGATGTGTGCCGAAGGCCCTTGGAATCTGTTCCTAGTGATTCCATGAACCTGTGCAGGTACTTCAGGGAACCTTTTAAAACCCAAGAGGAAAAGGAGGAAGGGTTACACCTGCTATAGTGGCTTGCCTTGGATTCGCTGGGCCTCAGGTTGTTTGCTGCATTCTCCTTGTTTGATGTGCTACCACTAAAATGGCTATGCATTTCAACAAGGAACCACCTCAAAAGTGGTTGGCGGACATGCATCCCATCTAAATGATGTCCCCAACTTCAGTTTCCAAAACGTATTAAAGTCCCAGAATTGGAGAAGTACAGTAGGTTTCCCAGAAGTAACACTTCACAAATACTTCTGTTTCACGAAAGGGGTGAGCGACAGCCGAGCCAGAAAAGCCTCACAGAAACCCATCTCTACTGAAGTGAAAGTTGGGGCATGAATTCTGAATCAGCACCCTGATCGCAGATGATAGAGAGCCGAGTCATCATTTACTTGCCGCCTTCGGAACTTCACTCGGAGAAGGCACAAAGTGATATTGCCCTTGACTCAGCAGGCGCATCTGCGGCAAGCAGGCAGATCTCGATGGCACGGATGGGGCCTTGCTTTGAGACAGGCTTTCCTTCGGACGGCTCTGGCCCTCGACCAAGCGAAGCTGGTTCTTTCCTTCGGTCGAGCACTCCAAACCGAGGCCAAGATGAGGGAGCCTCCAGTGCTAAGCGCCTGGCGTGGATTCCGCAACTGAATCCGACCAATTCGCTTTGCAAGGAACTGGGATCCTCCAAGTCTAGCCCATGGAAGTGGAGGGGCAGTCGTGCAAAGCCTTCAGCTTGAGTGGTGGAAAGAGAGTTTCTAGAATTTGATTCCAACCATTCTCTTAAACCCATGGTTAGTTCTTTTCAAGCAAACCAGCTGTTTCCAACCTGGGTTTTTGGAGGGTGTCCTGAAAAGAAAAACGGATCCCTGGAAAGAACGGGGACACTTCCCCTAGAAGCTATAGCCCACTTCGGAGACTTACAACATACTATGGTCAGGGGCTGTGACCATGGTTATTATCCACCTACGAAGTATTTAGCCTGCCCCCCTCAAGCATGAGTGTTGACAACCCCTCGCGAGGCGCTGCGGCGGCGGCACAAGAGTGCGTTGGCAGCCCATGAGGCTGACGCGAACCGGGGTCGCCTTCCGTTTCCGTGGTCCGAGCCTCACCAAAAGACGGGGGCGAATTGGTTGGTTTTCTTTTTGGCATGGCTTTGAATCATCCCTAAGTTGGCCTACCAAACATGGAAACCCGCAAATGAGTTGAAGTGGTCTTGAGCTTTGGTCCATCAAAGGGAAGTTGTCTTTCTTCTGTTTGTTTCTTCTCAGTGTTGTCAAACAGTGTGTAAAGTGGGATGTGTGGCTTCACCTGCAGGGTGATGTTGGAGTGAACAGGGAAACCAAGAGGCTGCACACTGCGCAACATGCACCAGAACATACCATGTAGAACCAACCAAGCACTCCCAACATTATGGAGGCTGACAGGGGCCTAGTGTAAGGCTACTGTCCTTAAGGGAGGACTTGTGGGTTTCGCGCAAGTTTTGGTTGCTGAGTTGTAGTCACCCACTTTGATCTGTTCAGGGAGAGTAAGTGGTTGAGAAGACCGTGTTGTGATTCAGTTGTTGGAACCTAGCTTCGCAGTCTCTACGTAAGATTTTGCCAAAGCCCAAACTTTGAAACAATCAGTTGGCGCCCATAGGAGGGGCCCAAGAAAGCAGGGGAAACGGCCTTTGCCAAGTGGCAAGCAATCTTTCCGATGTTGCCTCCGATGGTCCAAAAGGGCCATAGTGGTCTAGTTTTTGTCATTAAACGAAATGGGGCACCTAGGCGCGTTTTCGGATTTCCTTTTAGTTTCCCCTTAGAACATCCCGAGAGCGCACCGACTTCTGACATCCCCTTCAGCCCATAGGATGGGACCACCTTTGGGCGGCTTTCAGCCTCAAACCAAACACCCAACTCAGGAAGTCCGAAACGGGTTGCCATGAACAGGTTCTAATCACGCGTGAAGCTCCCGATCGAACACATAGTTAGAGCCCAGCGGGTCTCCCAAGCCTTGACGTCACCAGGCACGCCCATCCATCGCTAGGCGAAACCAACGGTTCGCCCCGTGGAAAGACGATCCTTGCAGATGCTGGTGACGGAGGAGCCAATCGGTCGATCCGATGGCTGGCTTCCTGGACTGGAAGATTGGAACCAGATGTGGGTTTGAATCAAAGTTAAACCACCAGGGGACCACAGGCTTTAATCCCGGGTTCCATTTACCAGGGTTCCATTTTGGGTGCCCATTTTTGGGTTTCCTTGCCTGGTTGGGTTTGTAAGCGGCCCCCTCCAAGGGGGCCAGATGGATTTCAGCTTGGCGGGTGATGTTCAATGGGCACACCACGGTAAGGGTTATAGTGGAGTGGTTCCAACCCAGGCACGGCCTGTATCCCTTGTGTTTCTCGGGCGTAGAGGGCTTAATGGGCTAGCTTCCTTTCCTCCGTGGTATGTTTGCAAATTGTATGGGCCCACAAAGCGCAAAGCGTAAGCCATAGGTGTCCCGAAACAGGCCTCATTTTTGGGCGAATCAGAAGGCTATCCAGCAATTAGCCATGTGCCAGCTTTAGCAGCCCTTTCCTAAGAGGTAAGGATCTGTTGGGGAGGGATAACCTGAACAACCAAACAGCGCCGTGGCTGGCCGCTCTGGCTCCATGGCAAGGGGCATTAGCTGCCAGCGATCACGGGGTCAAATCATCTCGAGGTGGCGGATCAGGAGGTGCCACTTCCAGCATTGAGTTTTTCGTGTTCATTTCACTTAGTCCGGGCCAAGACCAAGCAGGTAACCAGGCTGAGCAAGTTACTGGTCGAGCCTTCTGGCGAGCACCGGCACGGCCGCGTCCCATCTCGAGATCAGACCCCAGGCTTTCATTGGTCCGTTAGGAGCCACGTTTCTCCGAGAGACTCTTTGCAGTTAAAGACTTGCGCCTTCGCAGTGCAAGTATTGTTTTTTTGACAAAGGGATCAATGAAAAACCCTTTTGACTACATATTCGTGTTCCTATCGAACTCATTTCGGTGGGGATCCATCGGCCATGCTCTCCTGGCTGCTTTGGGCCTTGCAGCTGCTCCTTTTGGCGCTGCAGCTGGCGCTTCTGCGCCGAAGCACCGCCGCACCCCCGGCGCCGAAGCCGGAGCCGGAGCCGGCGGAGGTGGAGGCGGAGGGGTGTGGGCATGGTAGTGCTTAGGGGAAGAGTTGCATGGAATGACCCGAATCAAAAATCCATCCAAATTTCCCCCATCACCATTGTGATCCATCCAAATATCTGGTGGTTCATCCATCGGTGGTTTCCTTTGTTCGGGAATCGCTGGCTCTTCATTCCCACATTCCGACTACTGAGCACCAGCAAGTTTAGGTGTTCATGAGGCGGGCGGCTTGCCCTGGGTTAGCACCGGAATCGGTATCCGTAGGTCGACGCGGTGCGCAGTTGCACCGACGATTTGGGTTTGCCTTTTCTTGTGGACCCCCCACCCGGAGAATAGTGGTTGTCCTTTGGTTTCGCTTTCAAACCTACCAACAAGGTGTACCCTCACCCTGAAAGAAAGACACTCCCCTTCAGGCTTTTCAGGTGTTTTTTCTTTGGGACTCGCTGCCACCCCGTCCGAAAACGAGGGCAAATCTTTGGGATCAGCCTTGGGATCCATTCCACTCACGCAGGCGCCGCCGGATCGGAAAGCGCGGCCCAAGAAGTCAAAGAAGGCCGAGATGCCGACGCCGACGGCCGCTGTCTGCAGCCCTCGAAATTCTTTTGACGGGTCCCGCGCTTGACTCAGTTGCCCAAAGCGAATCGACCGGATCTGACCTTTGGGTTTTTCCCCCATGTTGGACCTTGTTTGGTCATGGCCCGAAAAAGTTAACCATTTTTATTTTTTCTGGGTCCTTTGGGCAACTGAGTTTGAGAATGTCCCAAAAGGGCCTCTCCGGATCACTTCAGGGACGAGACGCCCTCTACAACAGAGCCCATATTTCCGGATGGGCAACTTTCAGTTTCTTGGGGTCTTGGGATGTGATGTGCTTCTTCTGTTTGTGTTCAAGGAAAGCAATAAGTTAAGGCACATATTCCATTTATTCGGCAAACCGTTAGCGACCTCATGAAGATATGTGTGTGCGAGCCATTTCACCCATGAGTGTTCAAGTCAATCATCCGCAATGCTCTTGCCAGATGGTAGCGGATTCCCTTGTTGCAGTTGTAACCCCACCACGGGTTGCGGATTAGGATAACAAGCGCCTCTGCAATGCCATGCGTTCAGGTAATCGTCCCGTTTCTTGGAACGGCTAGGACTATAATTCAATGAAACTGGGCACTTTGCTGGCACTCCCCAAACACACTGCCTCCAGCTTGGGTCCATCAAAGTTTTTCCCAGGAGGTGGGCAACGACCCCCTGGGCCATGCAAAGGGGCTCAAGGTCCCAGCCCAGCTTCCCTCGGCCCGATGTTTGCCAGGAAGCCAACGGAAAGCAAAACAAAGAGCTTCCATTAACGCAGAGTCTATGATCTTAACCTGCCTCCTGCTTTGAGGTCGTCCCAGAGTAAAAGTGCAAATTGTTGAATTGGGAGGTTCCCATTAAAGCCCCCACGGCAAGGGCCACTTTAATGCAGGTCCTTTGCTGGATCCCTGCTGGATGAATAGGGGTGCGTTCCCCCCAGTCATCCAGATTCCCCCTAGAATGGGGCACGCTTCCTACAAGCCTGTGTTCAACTTGTCTCACATTAGGGATCATTACTTTAAAGGGGCGATCGGGTACTTGGTAAGTGGTTCGTAAGCCTGGTTGTAACCCACTGAATGGAGACTTACCATGCCTTTTGTGGGTTACAACCATGGTTGGATACCCCTTACCTGACGTACCCGATCGACCCTGGAAGTAGGGCTATCCGGATTCCCCCTAGTGCAGATCCTATGTTCAGCAAATTCCCTGAAGGCAGTGGTCCTTCGTCCCTTGGACCGCCTCCCACCGCCTCACCCGCCGGTGCTGCGACCTTTGCGCGACGGGGATCCGCGCGTGGACGCGTCCGCGTGGCTGCGTTTGGCGCCGGCCACGCGGCAGAGTTTTGGAGACGAGGGCTCCCATGGGAAAGGAAGCCAATCCTGGGGTCTCAATTGTCGTTTTGGACACATACCCATAGTTCCACCCTTCTTGGAAGGCAAACTTACATTACCTTTAACTAAGTTTCCGACCATTGGCGGGGTGTCATGTTTTAGGGGAACGCACCTCAAGGCGCCACCACCCTGATTAATTTATTCTTCCCAGTTGTCGAAGTTTTGACGTTTGAACCTTGCGTAGTTCCCTTTTTGGTCCAGTTTGGGTCAAGGTCCTAAAATGTTGCAAGTGTTGACTTCCGGGTGCTATAGGCAGGAGAGCCTTGCGTTGGGTGATTACAAAGGGAAGACGCCTGTTTTCACCCGTTCCCACCGATTAAGGTACATCATGTTTAGTGTACCCACTTAGAGGGCTTACGATCTACTCTGGCAAATAGTGGGGTACAACTAAGGTTAACACCCACTCAATGATAGCCTATCCCTTTAAGTAGGAGAAACACTGGGTTTGTTTCATGCTTGTGGAACAACCCACCGAACCATATGTCCTACCTCTATTAAACAAACTTCTTCAATCGATCCCTGAAACGTTTGATTGGCAAACTTGGTTTTGTTTGTTGGAAAGCCCCCAGCATCATGTTTAACTTATATCCTCTCTACCGCCGTGATAATCTGCCAAGCATGCCATCCGACCTTCAAACAAACGTTGTTTTGTGAGGGTATGTCCCCCTGTTACTCGGATGTGCTGAGGGGATGTACTTTGGCCGCCCCTTATCAGCGTAGAACCGAACTCTTCAAAATATCCCTATTTGTGGACCAGTGTAGCGGCACGCATCATTTCAGTGGGAAGCCAAAGTGTGGATTTTGTCGGGACAATCCACTCAAGTGAATTCACTTGAGACAGGTGTTTCCATTTCCTAGGTTTCACTACTTGGGTGTCCATTGGGTGTTGGTAGGTTGTCAGTACCCAAAGTTATAACCCGCTTGTAAATCGCCCGTTCAGTGGAGTTAACCTGGTTAGTAGGTTACAACCTAGGTGGCGAACCGCGTGCTAACTTGGCAACGCACATCCAATTAGGATTTGCGGAGCATAGCACCTGACAGGGCCCCCTTCCCAGAGGAAACATATCTTCCAGATGCCCACAGGTGCCTTAGTGGACTAGGATTCACTGAAAGAGGGCCTTCAATTCAGCACGGTTTCAACAAAAAACCGAGGGCCCGCAAACGGAAAAGGCCGCCGGTTTGGCCTGTGGAGAGGCCAAGCGCAGCGGCACGGCGGTGCTGGTGCTGCCGGGTGGGCAGCTTGGGCCGAATGAAAGGGCGTGAGGTATGGTTTGCGATCGCGGTGCGATGGGCAGGGAATGAGAAATGGAATGAACGCAGGGATTCCCGAACAAAGGAAACCACCAGTTGGATGGTTTAAATCGGGGACATTCCATTTCGCATTCCCTGCCTATCGCACCAGATGGGTGCCACATCGCGGTTCCCAAAAGCCAGGTCAGGTTTCTATTTTTGTTGACGTGGAGTTAGAATTAGGTTGGTTCATCCCCCAGAAAGCAAAGCACCCTGGGCTTAAGCTTAAGTCTATGGGGTCAAAAAGTGTGAATCCCTCCAGGAAACGTTAAACCAGGTGCCCCGGAAGTGACAAGTCCCACAAAGAGAAACGAGGGACTCGATACTTCGAGGTCTGAGGGCCCAACCTTAGCGAAACAGACGGGCCTCCATTCAGAGTCCATGGTGGGTAACTTGGAGCAAGTTGAGCGGAAGCCATCTAAAGAATGTTTGGCGTTGTTTGTCAGGGCGACCGAATACACGGAAAAGTTCGCTTGGAAGCAAACATGTTTGGAACTTCCATGGGTCCATTCGTTCTTTCATCCATGCATGCATGCATCCATCGGTCCGTTATTCGCTCACTCGCTCGCTCAGTACATGCGGGGGACCCCTTTCATAATGTATGCCCAGTGGGGGGGGGGGGGAATGTATGTAATACATGTTCCACGTTTGCCGCCCCAAGAGTCTTAAGCGCTTTGCCAAGGCTGAGAACCTAAGAAAGCGATATACAGTCACAGCCTTA